CTAACTGTCCTAAATATTAAAAAAAAACTGATGTTGTAGCAGACGATGCGCACATGCTCAATCTTGAGAAAGGTGGCTGAAATTCGAGGTTGAGTATTTCAGAAGAAGTGGCGCTGATTCTGTCCCTGACGCAGAGGATTATTGTTTTAAATATTTCGTTGCTTCTTCCTCGCTTGTGAAGTGAGTCACAGCTATAGTCTTCCGAGAGAAAAAAACGAGAAGCGCGTCACAAGGATCACTAGAAAGTTCTTAAAAACACGTAGTGCCTATAAATAAGCTATTCACTGCTGCCCGCCATGTTCCGATTCCGACACCACGAAAGATGCAAATATTGAACTACATACGGTGGCGACAACCGAATGGGTATTTATTTCTCGTCCCTCCAACATAAACAAACAGACATTTTTTAGGGTTTTAGCTTCCCAACTGTGCCGGTTCTGTTTTGTTTGCCATGGTGCAGGGATATGAGATTTTTAGTTTTAACGTTACTCTACTCATAGGCAACGAGGGCAAACAGACAACCGGCGAGCCGGTTGTCTGTTTGCCCTCGTTGCTCATAGATGGCGGCACATAGTACAGCTCCGCTGCTCTTCCTTCTTCACCAGAGTGGAAAGGCTGAAAGATTTTTTTATTCCATTTATTGAAATAAGAATAATGTCAAACGATCAACTTTCATAGTGTTGTTTAATAATGCAACGACTCCAAGCTTGCACTTTGCGCTTGCGAAAACAGCTGCAGCGAAACGCTGCAGTGAGATTACAAACTCTGTGAGGTTGCGATTTGCGCTGATATTTGATGTCGGTCTTTCGGAATGAGCAAGTATATTGCTGTTTCGCCTCCCTTTTTTTCTGTTATAATTATTCTATAATAGATGTATCGGAAAGTTTATACCAGCATTTGCCACGAGAGTATAGTCGAACGAGATGAGAAGTTTAACCTTAGAAAAGTATTTGCATTAATAGCTCGTCTTAAATTTTTAATGCTTTAGCATTAGAACGCTTGTTTTTACGAAAACCCGTCGGTGTCTGGCCCCGTTTGTCAGCGCCATACATGACGTCGTGAGGAGAGTGCGGTGGTGAGGAGGTATCGTGTTTACGGATTCAATGTCGCACCACGGCGACGGAAAGAGAGGCTCAGGAAATGGAGGCGTGTTGACGTCAGCGCTTCGGACAAATACGAGCGTCGCACAGCTGGCGTGGAGCCAGAGACGAACCTGAGCTATTTGCTCAGGTTCGTCTCTGGCTCCACCCACTTTGGAATGCGGCCCAGCTTAGTTGCCGCTCCGAAGATAGATATGGTTCTTTACACGAGTGATAAAGGGGATGTAAAATTATTGAAAACGGGTCATAAACAATTCAAAAGCGGTCATAAACGAACGGAAAGGGGCAATAAACAACCGAGAAGCAGTGTTAAACGAATGGCAAGGGGTTCCTAAAGGAATCGAAAGGGGTAAAAAGGGGGTAAGAAAGAACCAATACTAACACGTTTTCATCGGATGAACCCCATTGATCGTCGAATAATTTTTAGTTTGGCCCCTCAAGCCGTTAAATTATTTTTCTAGCTGTTTTCTGTTATGTGGTACATAATAAATATTATAACTAATACTGTTCAAAGTAAGGTACACTCGAACGACCAATAAATGTAATGCATTTTTGTTTACGTACTGTGCTTTGTTTTATTAGTGCATTTTTCTTTTGAAAAGTTTAGAAAATTAACATGTTTGTAAAGGTACACAACCACGGATACACACTAAAATAGAACAGTTCTTTGGGCCAAAGTTTTGTATTGGTCTGGGAACATAGGGCTTTAATGAGCCCAAAGAAACCAAAGTAGAGCAAAACATGACATTCTTAGGCCACAGGCTTGGTATCGTTACCACAATTCACCAAACAAGTGCCAAAGTTATTCTTCGCTGCTGGCAGTTTTACTCCATCTGGCATCTTTGGGCATAAATCGCCAAACAAGTGCCAGAGCTAGGCTTCACTTATGGTTGTCCGATTTTAATGTGGCAACCTTGGGTCTAAATTGCAAAACAAGTGACATACTTAGGGTTTACTGTTCCAACGTGGCAACTTTGGCTCACGGCTAGCAGCTCGGCAATCACGTGGCAAGTCAACAAGAGGCACAGAAACTCCAAAGAAACGTTCTCTGTCACCAACAAACGCCTTGGAGCGAAGCTGTATTAGGCCCAAGGTGGGTCCCTAGGATTGCGAAGCTTGTGCAAAGTTAGGTGCTTCTCTGGCGTGCTTCCCGGGCAGTAGACTTAAAAAGAATGCTCCAAACATTTTGAAATTTATACTTCGTCTCACCCTACGATGGACTAAAGGCAGAAGCTACAAACCGCCAGATCCAGTCACCAGCAAATTCCGTGGTATTTCGCTTCGATGCATGTATCGGTGCCCGCGTTTCGGATCACTGATGGGAACGGGCGGACAGTAGTTCGGATCGAGCAATGAGTGACTCAACGATTTTACGTTGCAAGGAAAGCCACGACGTACTGGCTCTTTGCAGTGTCGAAGCTATAAAAATGACACAGCGTTTTTGGATACGGAGCATTATTCGTCCAAAGCTAACCAATGCTACGCGTGTCATAGTATAGCATGGAACGTGATTGGACCTGGCGGCCCGTGGCTTTGGCCTTTAGTCAATCGCAGTATGAGATGAAGTGTAGGTGCAATTACCTTTTTCGTTTTGCGGATGTCTCGCATTTTGCATTTACCGGCTTATAATTTCAATCTGCATAACGAAGCAGCCTTCAACTTTTACAATTTACATAATTTTCTCCGATTGTTGTAAACACTGATCTTGATATTTTTGTTGACGCGCGTGTAGACATTGACGGTTTGTTGATGGTATATTGATTTATTTAAGATGAAATTTTTGTCACCCTGTTCCGATTTTTTGAATGCTTACTCGGAACGTGCACGGCTAAAAAGAAGTACCCTTGTTTGTGAGATACTTATACAATCACACAAGCTTAATCATGCTGACAAAGATGGAAGAGCACGGATTGTGTCCCGCACAAACAAAACTCTGTTCTTGCTGTCACATGGTATAGCCAGCCGGCATCAGCTAGGCGGCGCCAGCAGAGTGAGAGCCCACGGTTATATCCTGTCGCGTTGTAATTTGGCAAAGGGTTAACGATATAGCCTCACATTGCGTGCCGACGGCTGCGATATGCGCTACGTATACGAGCGCAACGCACACATATTGGAGTATGACACTGCGAAAAGCTTGACACTTCTTCGCAGTAAAGGGGCACTCCGGTGATACGTAGTCACGTTCCGATAGGCCCCCCAGGGCCGTAGCTCCCGCCGTATTGACATGCTGTGGGATCAAGGCTTCCTGGCCTACCCAGTATTTCTTGCTTCAGATAGGCTAAGCGGCGCCACCAGAATAATAGCTCCCGTTTAACAGTACAGCCTCTAATCCCAGACATACCCAATATTTCCTGCTTCTTGCTTCAGTCGCTAGAAAGCGCCATACCAAATAACATTGCAGGTTGCCTATGATACACACCACTCTCGCCGGCACGTTTTGTCGGGAGCGAGTATAGCTGTGCTACGCAGCTCAGTGATATAGTATCTGATTGTCACCGCAACGACCCAGGTTCAAGCCCCGCTGTGGTGTCTTTATGTGTTTCGTTAATGTTTACAAAGAAACTGTTATGTGCTAGGTTCTGGAAAAACATTCGTCCATGGCGGTTAACAAAAAAACTCCAGTTTAAACGGCGCTCGTTCGTTCCGACTGGTCGTGGCAACTATAAATTAAGAAAAGGTGGCACCTCGCGTGAGTCAGCCTTCCTTGACAGTATTAGATAGTGAGGTCCTGATAAGAACCTCACTATTTAATAATAAGTAAGGTAAGAAACCTTGAAATCGTGCCTTTTGACTAGAAAATTAAGCTCGAGAGTGACTCTTGCAACCTTCCACACCCTTAAAGGGTGTGGAAGGTTGCAAGGTTGCTTTTCCCTTAAAGGGGAAAGGCAACGATTTTTGTATTTTGCGCAAATACCGCTTAGAACGGATCCCTGACGTTAATGACCTGCGAAATATCCGCGGTTTTTCACCACACGCAATCGAAGTCGCAGAAAAAAAAAATCAAGAAAAACGAGCAGAGTTCACCCCCTCAACTCGCAGCCAGAACAAGCGGCCACGTGATCTCGAGCCGATTATATGCCGCCAATGTTGATCATAGTCATGCGCTGGGGCTGGGGAGGCACAGGACACGTGCTGAGTTCCAGACATTGTTATGGTTCGGCTGTTGTCGTCATTGCAGCGATTGGACACAGGACACTACCCGAATGCTTCTCGAGCTATCGATTATCACGCGCTCAAACCGAGTGTCCACGCCATGCTCGGGTCCAATCTATGAGCCACATTCAAATATCGTCACTGGGCGGTACTGCTACCGCCCAGCTACGTCATTAGATTTTGCGAAGGAGAGATTGAATGAAAACACTCGGTTTTGTCCTCGAAATTACAGCACAACAAAAGAGCTCTTTTTTTTTCACTCGTTTTTTTAGTTTACAGTGTGTCAACTCTTAGTTCAGTTTAAACAAATACGACCTGTCGATGAAAGAGTACATCATATGCATAGGCGGAGAGGCTTGAATTTACCAAGACGAAAAAGAGCGGTAAGAAAGGGGAGAAGGGTGAAGCCCCCCTCCCCATCTCTCGTTTTTTCTTCCCGCGCCCCCAGCGGTCCCCAAGCGATGATACTTGCTTTCCCGAAAAGCTTCGGGGGAAGGGGGGGGGGGGGGGGGGGGGGTAGTTGCGCTTATGATCATGCTTCCAGTCAAGATACGAGTTTCATAAATTCCGAAAATAAAGACCTAATGAGTATCCAAGAAAAAAGGGACTCAGTGTAAAACTAATACATCACATCTCATGAACGCAAACATTTACGAACATTAGAACTGCTTATTTACACTGTGCGTTTCATTCAAAAAGTCACGGCAACCGTCTAGAAACTAAACGGTGTTCTCCAAACAAATTCACCTTTTCTGAATGCTGGAACGCTGAGTACTGAGGATCATCTTCCGCTGGTATATGTCCGTCACATTTGATCCTTGTGACACCAAAAAAGCACGTAGTTATAACCAGCAGGCAAGTACGTTGCATTGCTCGTGATAGCCCCATGAAAACTCTTTCCACAAACGTGATTTTACGCGCTTAATATATCTGATCTAAGCAAAGCCAGCTGTTCAAAATTGAGGAGAAATGAAAGCAGCTGGCTGTGAAAACACGAATGTAAACTTTTTCTTTTTTTTTTAGGACTCGCAACGGGTGTACGCAGAAATTGATTTTCGCAACATTGTTGCGAGGCGTATAGAATTTATTATAGAAGACTTTCACATAGCATTAGCACAAACATATATATGCTAAAGTTTAAAAAATGAAAACGAGGAGTGATCATTAAGTTTTGCCTCTTAGGCCGTAAATTCTTTATGTAAACGGAATTGAAAGTTCTTACATTCGAATCAAAGTTTTGAATTTCCTCTTTTCCAGGAAAGTCTAACTTTCCAATATAATCTCCACCGGCCGCGATGCACGTCCACTGCTCGTGCAGTGCAGTACTCTCCGGATGCCATCGTAGATGATATAGTGAGGGCTGTTGCTGACGACACCAAGGGCGCACGGCATTGGTAATCTCGTCGTCGTACGCAAACCGTGTATTTGTATTATTTATCTTGCAAAACAGGCGAAAGTGTGGTTTCATGAGGTACGGGCTGTTAGGTGAATGAGGCAAAATACCTTGGAACTGCAGCTCTTCCAGTGCGCGGCATTGGTGTCGTCAAGAGCCGCCCTCAGTCATCTACGATGGCATACGGAGAGTAGTGCACAAACAGCGGAAGTACCACAAACAGCGGAAGTACATAGCGGTCGCTGGGGACTATATTGAAGAGGTTTATTCTCCTGGGAAATAGGAAATTCAAAACTTTCAATCGAACGTAACTTCTTCCGATTCCATGACTGAATAAAAAGCTTACAGCCTAGGAGACAAAACTTGGTGTTTATACACCTCGTATGTCAATCTATATACACAATATCTTGAGTCTGAATACAGATTTAGATTGACTAAATTCTGAATCTATTGAGCGTGGTCCATAAATGAACGTTAAACAACTATCCCGCTTCGGATGAAGTTCTGAAAGAGAAGGCAGAAACGAAAAGATTTCAGTGTGCCACCACGGCAGCAAACAGAAAACGAAGCCCTAATTATGAATATCTGCGAAATGCGTTCCATAATAATCAAAACTTTCCGAATGTTTTGAAATACGCACGCTGAAGCAAATGTCATTCTATAAAACTTTCCATAAAGCCTTCTCCACCGTGGATAGGAAAAATGAAACGCTTACCTCACAGTTTATATTACGTTTGCAGTCACGAGAACTGTATTCTTAATAATCTTGCAGTTGTTAAAGAAGTGAGCGATGTAGTTCGAAGTCTTCCGAAAACTTTCAGGTATGTCACCTTAATCATTTTTATGCACATCGGTGGATAAAAGGTTTGATGTATACAAGCGTACGTTCAGGGGTGTTGGAACAGTCCCGGAAAGCATCGTACAATTTTCATTGTTAAAGAGGCTCTGCAACAATATTTGGTGGGAACGTTTCTCCCTTTACAACATCTTACTGGCACTGGTGGGCCCTAAGAATACTCAAACGCAACGCCACTGACCAAGAAGCGTCTTCGTTGCGGTGGAATTCCCAGAAATAAAGCGGACCTTTTCTTTCAGTCTCTCCTTCGCAAAACTTGATGACGGAGCTGCGGGGACAATCCAAAATTTGATGACGTAAAGTGGGGATTGAAGTACACCCAAATGACGATATTTGAATGCGATACATAGATTGGACCCAAGCGTTGCGTGAGCACTCAATTTAGACTCGTGGTAATTACTAGCTCGAGAAGCATTCGGGTAGTGGCCCGTGTCCAATCGCTGCAACGACGACAGTAGCCGAGCCATAACAATGTCTGGAGCTCAGCGCGTTTCCTGTGCTTTGCCAACCCCAGCGCGCGGCTATGATCAACATTGGCAGCATATAATCGGCTCCAGATCACGCGGCCGCTTGTTCTGGCTGCGAGTTGAGGGGGTGAACGGTGCTCGTTTTTCTTTGATCTTTTTCTGGAACTTCTATTGCGTGGGGTGAAAAACCCCACGCAATAGAAAGTCATAGATCATTAACGTCAGTTATCCGTTTTAAACGGTATTTTCGCAAAGTACAAAAATTGTTGCATCGCCCCTTTAAAGGTTACAACATTGTTAAAGAGTGCAATAACCTCAGCTCTGAATGTGTATTGCACTCGAAGATCTTAAAAATATATTAGAGTGAGGAACGTGCGAAGGCGACGGATAGCCTCCTCAAAGCATAAAAATTTAGTTCTACCTTCTGATCTTTCACCAGAGTGTTTCTCAGATCGTTTTCTATTTCACCTAGTTCTAAAGTTCTAATAGTCCATTCCAATTTGTTAGCAAAGCATCACCACGCAGCTTTAGGGTTCAGTGTGCACTCTGTCATGTCTACTCTTGACCGCCATAGCGCATGTAGGCCTAAAACCATAATTATCTCCGTCAGGTCAGTCAGCGTCCTTTTGTCGTGCAGCCGTAGGAATTTCAAAGTACACCAACCAACTGCCTCTTCAGGTCCTCGTGGCCGGACAGGATGGAATCCTGCTCGATGATGGGAGCTTTGGGAGATAAAGATTTCGTCGTTACTTCCTCCTCCTTTTTGTTTCTGCCCTCTCCCCTTGAGATGTGGAACCAGGATCTGAAGTGCACAGAGTTTCTTCTCCCTTTCTTTACCCGAGCATTTCATTGTCGCTGGTTTCATCCATTTCGGACGCCTTTTCCTCTGACTTCATTGGCTCTTCAGCTTGGTCTTCAGGGACAAGAGCACTGAACGAGTTGGTGATAGAACATTGCTCACTGTATCCTTTGTTGCAGAGCGTGACGACGCCGACCTGTCTTCGCACTTCTCAGTCCATGAGGCTGCCTCTACGTGGGCTGTGCTGTGGGGGGTGCTGACTTCCGCCGAAACCTCTGTTTGTGCTGTTTCTTCTGCGTCCGTCAAGTATTCTGTAGGAATCTGGAGAGATGTAGCCCTTCAATTAGGGTATGTTTTAATACAGCCTTCGGGATCGTGGCCGAATTTTCGGCATGCGCTGCACCAGGGAGCGCGGCACTGGCCTCGGACGTGTCCGACTTGCCTGCATCGCAGACATTGCGGTGCTCCGCCAGGCACGGAGACAAGGACGGCGGTTCCCAGAATCTTGAACTGATGCGGCAAGCTGTCCGCAGTCACCCCTTTGTTCAATTCAGTTGACAGTATTTTTGCGGTCGTCTCTACTTCTTCGAAGCCGGAGTAGTGCCACTTGTCTAGAACGATGCGCTTTATTTTTTCGAACGTAGAAAAAGCACTTACTACGCTTGCATCTGGGACGCTAGTTGCAAACCACTGTACCTTCATGGACAGCGCAGTATTTCTCCCGTCCGTTATCAAACATGTCTTGTGCTTTACTTGGATCTCCCGGAGCTGCAGCAATCTTTCTTTTTCTTTGGCAGAACGCACTGTGAGCAGCCACAGGTGATTGCATTGGGAGGCCCCAAGCGAAGCTAGCTCGTTTGGGTTGATGATTTTCTTCAAAGCAAGACCGGAATCGTGATGGGTTCCCATGAAAAATCAGTGAGTTTTCAAGCAGCTTACCGTTGGGAAGAGGTGGCAGTAAAATCCTGTACTCCGTTGAACTTGGTGCAGAGGGGGCAGAAGCAGAAATAGGCTCAGAATATTCCAGGCTAGGCTTAGCCGTTGAGATTTCCTTTAAGGTGTATCCACACGACGGACCAAATTGCTGTTTTGGTCCGCGGGCCGCGCATCACGTGATCTTACGTCACCGCTTTTCGAGGTCCGCCGGCGGTCCGCGGCTCGCGCTTGTGAGAAATGCCAAGCGCTTTTCTCGCCCGGACCTTGGCGGCGGACCGCGGCGTTTTTAGTATAATTGAAGTGCTAAGTCTGGCAACAAGCTTACTTTTGTTGTTTAGATTGGAATCCAAATCCAAAGTCGTGTTCTTTTGGCGCCAACTGTTGAAGACGAAGAAGACGAACCTTTTGTTGTGCGACGATGGCGGCATGGTGCGACGATGCAACTTTTTACTTCATCGCGCTCGTGGAGCGATTCCCCGCTCTGTGGGACAAAAGATGCATGCCCTTTTCGGATCACTTAAGTCCTCCTCGTCCTCAATAGTCAACGCCAGGGCCACCGCGGCCAAAAGTCTCTTTCGTTCAACCTCCATCTTGGCTCTTTACAAATAGCCTCAAAGCAGCTCGTTGCATGCGTTTGGCAGAGCTGTGAGGTCGAGGGTTAGACTGGCCCGTTCACTCTGTCGTCTGCTCTTTTGGTCCGCCGTGTGGATGCTCATTGCAGCCGGGCGGCCCGCGGGCCGCGCATCACGTGATCAATTGGTCCGCGGACCGGTCCGTCGTGTGGATACACCTTTACGGAGTCCATTTCCAACCCGGCCATTCAGCTCGTCGTCTTCTTCGAACTTCCTCGGCCACCGATCCCCCTCTGAGCTTCAGACATTGCTAGAGTTCAGCTTCACCGATTGAAAACGAGCCAATATCCGCATGTTTGGCGATGCTGATTGTCATGAACCTGAGTGCTCGACTCGAGCTTATAACAATCGAGTACGTCGCGATGTCACGTGACTCACGGTGTGAAGTCGTGATGTCACGGTGTCAACAACGCTAATAAATATAGTGACGTCCTCAACATAAATTGGCTTGACGCACTGAGTCACGTGACGACGTCACGTGATGTCACTGGGTCATGTGACGTGAGATTGACAGCATGACTTGACACCATGACGTCACGTGATCACGTGACACATGGTAAATAAAACAAACGCGCCATGAAAACCCACAATTTCTCATGCATTGCAATTCTTTGCATGATGATTTGATCAAAACAAAGAAGTGCAGGTGCCATTTTTTATTCTCCAATATTCATTTTGTGATAATAAAGAGTTTTAGTAGATCGTGTTTTTGGCTCACGCTATTTGTAGCGTGAGCCAAAAGTTCTGAAGCGCGCGACCGTAGCTGTAGCGGGTCTTAGAAAACGATCTACTAAAACTCCCTACT